TAAACATATCCTGTTAGTGAGTTAAAGAGTAAGTGAGATGTCTTGCCTAAGCCATGTGTGTGTCCAGGGAGAGATTAATTTCTTGATTAACTTCATCTTCAGCACGGTGGGCTAGTTTATTTGGGTTCTTTCTACGCATGCTACCAGTTTTTTTCTTACGTGTGCCCAAAAGCTGAAAAGAGGCCACTGATTCTAATAGGGCTTTCAACGCATAAGCGTCTAGTGAAACCAAGTATAGCATCCGTTGTCACCGTTTGCCCAGTAAACGGCAGTCAAGGAAACATATAGAACGAGGAATTTAGTAAGATGACCGAAAAATCCAGTTCTCAAAATGGCACGAGCTAAATGATAATGTTAAATGGGGGTTGAAATTGATTTTCTTGAAATAATCCCCACACTTCATGGTGCAGTGCAACAATACACTACCATTAAATTCGTTCCTTAAGAACGTGGTTGAACATGGCTCTCCACAATTTCCCGTCTTTTTTTACTTGCTCTTCTAATCCCTATTATGCCAACCATTTTCACAAGCTCGCAAGATAAGTTATACGCTGCTTTCCTCTGTCCCGCTTGACTTCATTATGCCGAGATCCATGATCCCTAACGCCCCAAAAGAATTGGTGTGAATCGAAACGGCACTAATTCCTGGCGAAGAAATGTTACGAATCTCATCAGAATCCATCTTGTACATTTACAAATCTAGCATTCGCCCGTGCAGTGTATACTGCTGCCATATCTGGTCTGGTGCTTCTCCTAGTTATCTCGACGTTCGTGACAAGATCCAAAGAAGGATCTGCAATGTAATCAATCCAGACTTGACATCTCAACTTCAGTCACTTTCTCACCGACGTGACGTGGCTTCCCTCTGTCTTTTCTACAAATATTTTCATGACAACGTGCTTCCTTCCCTGGTACCCCGACTGCATGAATTTAAGTGTGCCACTAGATTGGCATCAAGTTCTCACCCTTTTACTGTTGAAATAGCTAAATGCAAACGCCACTTGTACTCCAACAATTTCTTTTCTCGCACTTCGCGCCTGTGGAACACTCTTCCGTTTACTTGCTTCCCTGATAAATACAGCCTTCAAAAAATTACATGCAACGTCAATCACCATCTTCTATCTTCTTGAATCCCGTTCATCTTTTGTCCTTTCCTCAATTCTCTCTATACTCAGTCTTTTCTCTCACTTTCACTCCCTGTAACACCATACGTAATAGTGGCATTCCAGGTTAGCTTGAGATGAAATGGTTTTTAAAAATATATATTATTTTTGGTAAGTCACGCAAATCCAAATATGTGTTGTATAAATCAAAAGGTGAGATTTTCTTTTATCGGGAGGGCAAAGAAAGTAAACCTAAATCTCTCCTTTCTTTCATAGGTTATTGTGATTTTTTTTTTTTTTTTTTCCCTTTTCGTTTTAATGAACTCTGGTCAATAACAGTCTCTAATGTCGAAGTTGGTAATAATATACCCCACCTTTCCTTATTGTTAAACTACAAATTCCGACCTTCTCTCAGAAGCAATTAGATTTCGTTACATTCACATACACTTGGGAAATGTAGGAATCCATCTCTTTCCCCCCCCCACTTATGGGTTAAATATTAGAACGCATCTGGAAGAAAAATCATTGTTATTCGAGAAAAAAAACTATGCAATATTCACTCAAAAAAAAAAGAACTATTCTTACAGTTTAAATGTCAACCGAAAAAAATGAACAGGAATGTCGAAGAGTTAAAAGAACGAAACGGTGGAACAAGAACAGTCTGCCCTGGTGCATGAAATAAAGGGTTGAGTTCGAAATTACAATCACCTGAAGAAGGCCAGAGCGTACAACAGCCGACACGTCGTGAATATGGCAACAAAGATAAGGACAACAGTCCGAACAATGAAAATAGTGTAAACAGTTACAATACAATCTCAGAAATACAGACAGAATGAAACGTAATAAAAAAATATAGTAAAGACGAGACAAATGAATCTAAATAATTCCTGTATACGTCTCAGGGACTCAAACAAAGAATAGTCAAGTCTTCAAAAAATGGTAGAGTCAGTTACAAAGACTGCAGTATTCTTCCATTCAAGAATATCCCTCCAAAACACTACTACCGGCGATCATATATAATTCGAACTTCAGTAGGTTTTAGACATCGATATATATGGCAAGCTTTTACAACATCACCAATCATGAAAATATTGTCAGTAGCCCCAGCAGCTTGAAAATGCATTGCACTATTTTTAAGGGTGACCTTTATTTGAGAAATCACAGACAGATTTTTTTTTGCTCCACTGCTATGAATAACCAAAATGGCTAATTATAATGTCATGAATGCATCCGAACATTTTTCTTTTGATAAAGTATCATTAACGCTTGTTTTATTTTCGGCAGCACTTGACATATATTGGTTTTATTATTATGCTTTCATCATCATCATCATCATCATCATCATCATCATCATCATCATCCTTCTTTTTTAATGCACTTGCATATTCAGAAATGATGTTGTGGCTGGGGATTGTGTGATAACAAGTTTTCTCAGACCTCCAGCACCTTTTAGAGTATCTTTACAGACCCCATCAGTGCCGTGAGCTAGACAGTTGTAATGTTTCTGGGAAGCTCTAATTTCTGCCTCTTCTTCTGGCACGATTCCAAATACACTAATTATCATATGAACGAGCTTTGGGCACTTCGAAAGGTGTAATTGGTAGCAAACTTGTCTCGCTAGATCAATTGCGACTGTATAATGAGTTCGATATCTAAGTTTGTTTTTTTTACAGTAAGGTTCACCCCGTACAAGGCACCAAAGACACTCGAGGTAGAGGGTTACGTTAAGGAGTAGTTTAGGAGGGGAAGATGATGGTTAACTCTAGACTTGAACAGGTTAAGATTGTAGTGATCGGAGAACCATCCTCTTGGGAATCTGTTCCATATGGCAGTGGTTCGCGGAAGAAGCTGTTTGAGTGGAACTTACTTCTCACCTAAGGAATACACAGGTAATGTGGGTGGTTTGCTCCTATGTAAGTAGCATGACGGGTCCTAGCCGTGAAGGTTAGACCTGGTGGAAACAGGAGATGCAGTTTGTCCGAGCACTTTCCATGGCAGTAGCGATAGAGCAGTGAGAAACTCGCCACATCTTGCCTGTGGGAGAGAGGTTGGAGTAGGGAAAATAATTCTTCTCGCACGAGGACTCGGAGAGTCTTTTGAACTTTATCAAAACTGGGAAGTTAGGTCTGCGTAGCTCCTGCCCAAATAGTGCAATCGTACTTCATTTTCGAGCTGATCTGGTGCTTAAAAAGGTAAAGGATAACATGAGGGGTCAGGTACTTACTGGATCAGTAAAGGTTACGCTTAGAATATCATTCATTTGGGCATTTGAACGTGGTGTGATGCTTAGCAAACTTCTCTTGCTAGATTAATTACTACTAAATAGTTAGTACAGTTACGACTGAATAATGATTATGATCCACACTGCGTGCCTCATTTATTTGGCCTTGTGCCACATCTAAGCTTCGCTTGGAAAATCATTTGAGCACTTTGATGTAATGTAATGGTTAGCATGCTTGTCTCGCTAGATCATCTACGACTGTATAATGTGTTCGAACCTCACTGGGTGTCGAAACATTCGGCCTTGTGCCACAACTAAGCTTCGTTTGGTAAACCTTTTGGACACTTTGATGTGATGTAATGCTTAGCAAGTTTGTCTCGCTCGCTAGATCATTTACGACTGTATCATGTGTTCGAACCTCACTGGGTGTCGATAGATTCGGTCTTGTGCCACATCCAAGGTTCACTTGGTAAATCTTTTGAGCACTTTGAAGTGGTGGTTAGCAAGCTTGTCTCGCTAAATCCTAATAATCTTGCTAAATCTGAAAATCATAATAAATCATAAATCATAATAATCTCCGCTAAATCTGAATAATGTGTTCGATCGTCACTGAGTGTCTCATTCATTCGACCTTGTGCCACATCTAAACTACCCTTAGTAAATCATCTGAGAACTTCAACGTAGTGTAATGGTTAGTAAACTTACCTTGATAGATCAATTGTGACTGAATAATAAGTAGCATTTCGCTGGAGGCTGACTTTTTTCTTCTTCATTTTCTGATCTACTGCCATAGCCACGTCAATGTTTATTTGCATCTTTATATCAGAAATAACCAGTGGCTATTTTTTGTACTAAATACAAATGTCAGCACGATTTAAATAATTTCTATTTCCCAACCTTATTAGGTACGACACGCTTATTTTTCAAATAATCTTATTTGGTACAATTACTCTATTCCCCGTTAATTAAACTTGGAAATTCCCGACGGAACGTTTACTTGAATCAGAACGCGAATTTTATACACTAAAAATTCCCACAGACACGACTATTTCTGACGGCACCTTTATTTAGTACAAAAGAGTAAACAGGAAGAACTTTACTTACAGTTGTTTTTTTATAAAGATTGATTGGGTGATTTGAGTTTTTCTTTATGTTATTTAAAGCCGAAACGTATTTTAGATTGTATGAATAGTCTGTTTTTGGGGGGCTTTTTTTTGTTTGTTTGTTTTTATTTCCTTTTTTTAGCAAGCTAATATTGCATTAACAGTTTTTTTTTTTTTAGATAAAAATGGTTTTTCCTAAGTCACACTATTTAATCCATTGCTAGGGGGAGGGAAAAAATAGATTCATAACTTTTCCAAGTGTATTTGCACAAAAGTCAGTATAGCGAACTTGACTGGAATTCGAACTCGATTCTCCGATTTCTCCTTCTTTTCATAATCAATATCCTGATCTTAGCATAGAAGGTATTTTCCATAGGTAAACGTTTATTTTACAAGTTGGAAAATTACCACTGGCTTGACTGTCCCAGACGACAACGAGGATTTGGTTCGAAAAAATACTATGAAATAATAAAACAGTATGCGAGTATATTGCCAAGTAATTTACATTAGAATTCTTCGATATACCTTATTTTTAGATTACGCTTCTTTTTGAGCAGCAAAAATGCGCTTGAAATGTTCGACGTTCATTGTTTATTGTCTCTGATATTCTTCAAGCTTCTCAAAATAAATACCACACCTGTTCGCAATATTCCAATGAATGAAGGTGAAAACTGACACTCACAATTTCTGAAACTCTTGAACAAGGTCATTTTTTTTTTATATTGTCAAATCATTATTCATTTGGCTCTGTTTTAGTCTTTATTTTATATTCTAGCAAATACTAGTTAGTGTCTTCTTCTTTTGTGTGCCATATACTTTCTTACAGAACATGCTATATCATTGCTCTCTAAATCTCCCTGTCTTTTATGCTCGAAGTAACATTTTAGCCGTCTTTGTCCTTGTGCTGCAGGGTGGTAGCACCTGTTAGGATCCAAGCTATAGGCAAATAGTGAATCCCCAAACAAAAACAAAACACTGTGAAAGGTTGAAATACATTTTTAGAGTAAAAATACCAGCAATACATTTTTATATAACGATACATATTTATAGTAAAATTGCCAACACTACGTACATACTAACAAATTGTACCGGCTTCACCCAAATCTGTTTAAAATACGGCCAAAAAACGAACATGAAAGAACTTTAATGACATTTTTTCCCATATGATATTTTACAATTTCTTAAATTAAACTGTATTCCAAAATATAACTTCAAGAAAACTACAACATAAAACATACATCATTGCCTCTAGTTATCATGTCCACACAAACATGTATATGCACAAAAGCTGAGTATCATCTGCCTTGTATTCTATTGTGAAAGTAGAATAACATTTTTTTATTACTTCCAAGTTCGCAAGATAATTAAATTTTGGCATTAAGTGACCCATAAGGACTTGATATGCCGTTAAACAAACAAACCAATCAATCCTTGTTCTGCCACGCATTCATACAAATTCGTCAAGTAGATTACTCGCATATTCTTATTACTTCTCTTACCTTTAATTCTGTCTTGTGAGAATTCGTTTTTCCGGGCACTTTTTCCTCATTATGTGTCCCAGAAATTTCAGCTCTCTCTTTCCGATTGTATATATGCTTCGTCCTGTAATCATTTTTTTTTCTTGTAAAACTCGTTTCTCTCATGTTCTGTACAATGGCATTATTAATATCTGTCGGTAAAATCATGTCGCTTTCGTTCCAAGACTCGTCTTTATGCCAGAAGAGATGGTTCAGGATCATTTTCTTTGTTTCAAAGGACCTTCTTAATATTTCTAAGATTTTGGAAAGCATTTAGAATTCTGTGTTACGCTTTGTATCATTTGTTACTACATTTTTTTTTAGTCATCTCGACTTGAATCACTTTCTCATCGATGTGGCGTGGCATCCCTCTGTCTTTTCTACAAATATTTTCATGGCAACTGTTCTAACGATTTTTTTTCCTGGTGCGCCGAATACATAAATTTAAGGGTGGCAACAGATTGGAATCTAAGTCCCACCTTTTTAGTGTTGAAATAGCTAAATGCAACCACCACTCCTACTCCAACAGTTTCTATACTCCCACCTACCGCTCGTGGAACTTCCGTTTCCTTGCTTCACTGACAACTACAATCTTCAAAAATTTAGAAGCGCCGTCAATCTCCATCTTTTGTTTTATTGAACCCCGTTCATCTTGTATCCTTTGCTCAATACTTTCTATTCTCAACCTTCTAGTTCACTTTCACTTTCATTTTTACTTTTACTTCCTTTAACTACCGCCTTGCTTGGGATGAAAAGCTTTTTTTTTTAAATTTCACCCCAATCAAGGCGATAAATCCACTAAGACGCAAGGGGATTACTGAGAGTGAATGAAAATGAGCAGACTTAAGTTAGGAGAAAGAACAATAAAAGTAGATGGAATAGAGAAGATAGCGATTGACGTTGCATTTAAATCTTTGAAGATCGTAAGCAAGAAACCGAAAGAGATTTCCACAGGCGAGAAGTACGAGAAAAGAAAACTGTTATAATATAGCTTACGTTAACGTTAATGGCTTGCTACTCGTATTCGAGGATATCCGTCTACCAGGGCGGCTAGCTATTCCTTTTTGCAGACGCTTGCTCAGGCGCATTTGTTCAACACACATAGAGCCCACTTGTGGTTTATACTGCAACTATGCTTAGCAGACCTTAGTTACAATTTCTGGGAGAAAAGCGTCTTATCTAGCCTGATCAACAATCTGAACAAGGCCAGTACACCCACACTCTCAGTCACGATGACTTGTGACTTCGTGCTAGCACGGCCATAATATAACTTACATTTAAACAGTAAAGCGATGAAAAATAGTAGCCAATCTATTAGTAGGCTTAAATTCATACAGTCGAGTTACCAAGGAGAACTTATTAGAAAAATTGCCATATAAATATTTATAGAAATAACCCCAATAATAGATCTTTTTGAATAAATGCAGGTGTTCCTCAGGTCTTTATCCGTAGATCTATGTTGTTTCTAATGTTCATCAAAGACTTTCCCGATATCATCAATCCTCAACTCGGTATCTATGCTAATGACACAACTATTTACTCCTGTCATAATAGTAAGTTCGATAAGGTTAAATTTGCAGCTGATCTCAAAAATGACCTACAATCCGTTGTTAAATGGGGCAAGGAGTGGCTTGTTAATTCTAACGCCTCAAAAAAAATGCTCACTTTTAATAATCTGAGAGAAGCCCTTTTGCCTTTCATCAGCATGGCTGGTGCTTACTTCCAGGAGAATGACTCATTGTACCTTCTCAGACAAACATTTGAAAGTGGAAAGTGTATATTGAATCATTTGCTTAATCCACAGCTAAGAAAGATGGTTCACTATGTCGTGCTAGACACTGTTTCTCGCCAGAATCTATCTTACATGTTTATAAGTCTACCATCCGTCCTTGCTTTGAATATTGCTGCTAAATCTGATTTGGTGCTCCTGCTATATATTTGGAGATTTTTGATAATATGTCAAAGAAGAATCTGCAATGTTATTGGCCATGACCTGGCATCTCTGCATTAATCACTTACCCGCCAACGTAATATAACTTTTATGTTAATTGTTCTGATGATCTTACCGCTATGGTAGCTAAATTTTATGAATTTAAGCGCAGTACGAGATTGGGAAAAAAACTTCTCATCATTTTACTGTTTAATTGACTATATATAAATGTTTGTTCTATGCTAACAGATTTTTTATCACACTTCTCGCTTGTGGAACTCTCTTTCTGCTTCTTGCTTCTCAGTCAACTTTGATCTTCAAAAAATCAAATACAATGTCAATCGTTATTTTATATCTTCTCAATTATTGTTCTTTTATTATCCTCTATCCTTAATAGTAGTTTTTTTCATATTCCTTAACATGTATTAATGCTTTGCTTTGGGTGAAATGATTAAAAAATACCCAGAGAAACCACGTCATGGTGGTGATTGACTGATGTCGAGATCAGGTTATGACATTACAGACCTTTCTTTGGATTTTATTGGTAATCTATCAACATATAATAGGAGCCATCCGAGCCGTTATTCATTATATCACCCGCACGTAGAAGCTTAAAGCACATTGTATGTTCACGGCGTCACCCATATAGTTACTGAACACGCTCGGTGATCGTACGAAACCAATGTTTTACCCTGGTGTGACCATAATCCCCTGAATAAATCGTATACTTCCGTTGAATTTGTGCTGCATAACAATGCAATTTTATTAAGCCGGTCTCTATCACTGACAACAAAAGACGAAAAATTTTCATAGTCGATGTACATACTTTACTGCCATTTTGAAATATTGAATTTACAAAAAACACCATCAAAGTAGGAACAGTAAGTTTCAGCTTCCTATCTTTTCCTTCTTTTCTCTTTTTTCTTTTTCTGCTTTTTTTGCCTTTTCTTCTTTTTCTCTTTTCTTTCTTTTTGCTTTTCTTTCTTTTTTCTTTTTCTTTCTTTTTCTTTTCTTTTTTGCTTTTCCTTCTTTTTTTGATTTTCCTTTTTTGCTTTTGCATCTATATTCTTTTTCTTCTATATTTTGCTTTTTCTTCATTTTTGATTTTTCTTTTTCTTCTTTTTTTGCTTTTTCTTCTTTTTTCTTTTTCTTTTATCTTTTTCCTTCTTTTTTCTTTTTCTTTCTTTTTCTTTTCCTTCTTTTTTCTTTTTCTTTCTTTTTCTTTTGCTTCTTTTTTTTGCTTTTCCTTCTTTTTTGCTTTTTCTTCTGTTTTCTTTTTCTATATTTTCCTTTCTGGATATGTTCGGTAGTGACAGTTCACAACTTCCTATCCTCTTTATAAATGTTTGTCTTTTCACTATCTCTCCCACTACTTGTTCTGCCAAGCATTTACAGAAGCTCTTTAGATAGGTTACTCGCTGTTTCTCTCTGTGCCCCTTGCCCTCAGGGAGTGAAAGTTTCTCCAAGCTTTTTCTTCCCATTATGTATCCAATGAAATCTGCCTGTCGCTTTCTGATTGAAAGTATAATTGTCCTTTTTGTTCACATTTTTCCTTAAAACTTCCTCCCTACTCGCATGCTCGGTCCATGGTATTCTCAGTATCCTTCTCAAGAGCCCCATTTCTGCTGCCTGAAGTCTCCTATTCATCGGTAATAAAATTATTCAGCATTCACTGCCATATAGGGGAACTGATATTACATAGCAGTTGCGCACTCTTTTGGTTGTTTCTAACGAAAATTTCGTTTCGTACTACTTTGATTAACTTTTGAAAAGTATCAATCGCTATTCCGACGCGCCTTCACATTTTCCGTCCTCTGTTAAAACACTTCCCAGATATTTAACCCTCTATGTAATTCTGCGTATAATAAGTATAAAGTAAATACAATTCCAATGTCTATCGCGTTTATACACATAACGACACACACTAATTCCCCAACATATTAATGCTGCACTTGCTAATATTTCAATATCATTTTTAATAAGTGAGGCTTTGGGAATAAATAATTCTAAAAGAATAGAAAGTTGGTCCCGACGGACGCTTCTTCTAAAGGAAACATTTCACTGGCAACGAATACCAAATGGCCACACCCGTATTACTAACTTGTGCCGATAGATTCGTAGTAAGTTACATTTGAATTATGAATACATAATAATATTGGTTTTCTTGGCAATCGCTTGCGTTAAGCGTCTGGTTTGTGTACAGTTTATCTCTTTGAGTCTGAATAGGTCATTTGATAATCTTGGCATGCGTCTGGATCATGTAGCTAAAATTAACAGTCGGCTGTTGTGATGGCTATTCTGGGTGGGCGGGTCTGATATTTGGGATTGCTAATACCCTCTGTACTCTTTCGTACGACATCAGGGAGAGTAATGTTGCTTATAAGAGAATCGAGGTGGATGTAGAATCTGCAATAAAGACATCGGTTGTAATGACACGGATATTTTTTTTTTTTTTTTTTTTTAGTAATTCATCCTAAGAAAGGTGATAATGCCACTAAGACGCAAAAGGGTTACCGTGAGTGAAAGAGAATGTGAACTCTTTAATGAAGAGAAAAGACGATGAAAGTATAGGATTCAGGAAGACAGAATTAATATCTCCTGGATTATGCTGTACTTGATGCTTATAAGCATCAGGATAGGTTTTCTCTGAATTTTAGCCACAAATCCTAAGGACATGACAAGTGATACTTCATAGGCTTTAAGATAACCATGAACAAAGAGGTTACTGGGAATGAAAGAAAATTAGAAGATTTAGTGAGAAGATAGGGCAATAAAGAACATCATTCAAGAAGACAGAAGATGGCGATTGATGTTGCATTTAAATTTTTGAAGATCTTAAGTGGCAGTGAAGCAAAAAATTGGAAAAGAATTCCACAGGTGAGGAGTGCAAGAAATAGAAACTATTAGAATAGAACTTACGGTTTCATCTAGCTATTTCAATATGTTATACCATAATACCTATTCTATTGTAATAGACTCTCCCACAGATAATAAGTAGTAGTAGCAGTGGCCAGTTGGGCTCAGTGGTGTTGAGCGAGTCAGTCTATATCGGACATTGAAATATCAACCATCACAACTAGATTGCTGCGTCATTAACTCTTATTTCCAAGTTCCTAACGTTTTGTACGTCGAACCTAATTTAGGACGACTTATTGAAATACAAGCCTCCACTGTGAAAACTACTCTACAACACAATAGTAAAATTATGAGACCTAACTGCCAATCTAGTAGTACGCTTAAATTCATGCAATCGAGACACCAAGGAGGAAAGCCAACCAGAAAAGATACCATGAAAAATATTTTTTAAAAAAAGGTAGTTAGGTAAAAACTTGTTTACTTTGAAAGTATTTCTTCTGTTTCGTATATTTTGTATTGTTTTATACAAACGTTTCTGTCAGTAACCTGTGTTATTCATCAGACAGATATGGTATGGAGAGACGATAATTTACAAAACAATGAACGGGTGTGTTGAACATGCTAACAAGTGATTATAACTTGAGTTTCGGTAATTTATTTTTTATATATAATCTCAATTTAGAGGACATGTCTACGAAAATGTTAATTGAATTCTCATCTGCAACAGTTGTGAAAAAGAAAAGAAACAACATAGTTGATTTCAAGACTCAAGAGCCAGTCAAAATAAAATACAGTAAGAAGAGACTTAAAGCAACAGAAATGTGATTCTATAGAAGAATGCTGAAAATACCATGCACCGAACATTTGAGCAATGACGAAGTTTTAGAGAAAATGGAAACAAAAAGGAAACTTTCACTTAACATCAGGAAGAGACAGTTGACATTTCTGGGTCACATAATGAGGAAAGAGAGTTTGGAAAATTTAATACTCACAGGACAGATTGAAGGCAAGAGGGATAGAAAAAAACAAAACATACCATATGTAGATAGCTTGAGGAAATGAATAGTGAAGCAAAGTTTAAGAGAGATAAAAAGACAGTTTTTATTAAGAGCTACAGAAGACAAGAAATTATAATCGCCTACATCCTGAAGAGATGCGGCACATAGAAGAATCATCAGGCAACCTTTTCACACGAAAATTATTATTTCTGTGTGTGCGTGTGCTTAATCATTTCACGGCGATAATGCCACTAAAAACAGTTTTACTGGGACTGAAAGAAAATGAGCAAACTTTAGGATAAGGTACCGGTGTGTGTGTGTGTGTGTGTGTGTGTGTGTGTGTGTGTGAATCCCAATCCTAAAGCGGAAAAAACAAATGATAAACCCTATTCCTATGTTGTTCAAATGACGGAGAAGGAGTGTGAACCGGCTGATAGGCGTACCTATCTACGCCTAATTTAAAAAATTAGTGTATAAGCAGAAAATTGCCATTTTTATGCTTTTTTATGGATGATAAATGATAAAGATATACATGTAAGTAGACACGTGTAGGTGTGTGTGTGTGTGTGTGTGTGTGTGTGTGTGTGTGTCAGTTGACAGACTAAGAGAGATGCAAGAGTACCAGAATACAACAACCCGTATTTGTGTTTGCTTTGTGTATGTTTGTGTGGGTATGTGTGCTAAAATTAATTGGCATCTTAATTCTAGAAGTCTTCTTCCTCTATGGACTATATCCCTTCAGGAAGTAGGCGAACATAGCTCTCAACAGCTTCCAAGATGAGCTTCCAGTTTCAATTTATCGTTTCAATTTCCTAGCAGAAGAAATATAGCGGGTGTTAAATTAAGCTTTGAACCGTTGTGTCTTAGAAATGATTAAAGATATCTTACTGGAATCTTTCAAGGTTTTTATAACATTATTGAACTCGACTTTGAGCAGCAAGAATGTATAATTACTACCCAAGCTTAACAGAAGAGTCATGATGCAATCGATCATCTTCGCCTCTCTAAACTTCTAACTTTGTGTCCAGGAGTAACAACGTGTCTCACACGTTTCAAGTACGATTTCAGTTTCAAGTTATTTTTGCACTGCTCTTTGGACTGTCATAGCTGAAATGACGATCCCTCTTCCTGTTGTAACCACTTGATGCAGTCTTCCTGTCAACTGTTTCCTCTTTTTTAAATTTATTCACCGTTCTTTTGATGGTTCTTGAGTGTACTTTGAAAATGGAAGCCAGAGTATGACTGTTGGTAGCATTACTGATGGCCTGAATGAATTTTTCCTCTCACCATTGCTCAGTTGAGAAGTCAACGGGAGTGACACAAGACGATTTTAATCTGTTCTCTTTCTAAATGAATAACTCAAAAGGTTTTTCAGAGATTCTTACGACAAATGTTGTCAAGATAGTTAAACGTCTTATCTGAAAATCTGGAAAAAAATCAATTAGTTTAAAGGTTTTTTTTAGATATTAAACATTTTGTGTGATGGCCAATTATGCTGTAACACGATTTGGATAATTTTTCAGTTACAACTGGTATATATAGACCTATTAAATATATATACAGACCTAATATATATATATATATATATATATATATATATATATATATATATATATATATATATACGCGTTACACAAATTATGTGTGGGAGTGATGTGAGTTCATCAGATAAAAATGTTATAATCTCTAAAATTAAGAAATAACATTCTATTCAATATTGAATATGGAGGTTCATTTATCAACATTAATATCATATTAAATTCGATTTCTATTAAATCACAAGAAGTGTCCGCTACATCTCTATGCAGTGAATATCTAGTAACGTCAAAATTACGATACACACAAAAAAATATGTGCATAGTTGCACCCCTGATGATAATCTCAGAAAGAGAGGGAAAGTATTTGGGAAATAAAAGTGATTCTCATTGTTGCATCAGTTAATTGTGATGTACGGAAAATGTTCGTGAATATGAAAGGATTATGATAAAAATAAGCAGACATAATGTTTGTAATTTATTCATTCAGACATGCCTAAATACACAAGTATGTGTGTGTGTGTGTGTGTGTGTGTGTGTGTGTGTGTGTGTGTGTGTGTGTGTGTGTGTGAAGAAATATAGTTTTAAGGTGTGCTATATTTATGGGATAAAGTGATCAATATCAGAGATAGAGCGTGTGTAAATATAAATATAAAAGTGAACATTGAAGTCAACACTCAGAGGCAACAGGCTGTTTCATGCTGGACGCAATCATCAGATGAAACAGCCTGTCGCCTCTGAGGGTTGACTTTGTGTTCACTTTTATATATATATATATATATATATGTGTGAATGAATAAAAAGAAAGAACAGTAAGATATATAATCCTGTTTTGCGATTCGTTCTTTTTAAGGACTGTGTAGCAAAAAAAACATATTTTAAATCAATTTATAATATATATATATATATATATATATATAT